TAATGTCGAAATATTGAATCCCAACACGATGGCGTGTATTTCAATACTTGGAGTATGTATTATACTTTCTTAAAGTGCTAAGATTTGTCATTTCTTAGATTGTTCTAGCAGACTAACACAGCTATACTTTTTATTCGTCTTTATTAAGCCTGTTCATGGAATATTGCAATATTGTTCCCATTTTGGAATTCATCCATAATTGCAAGATTTTATATACCTTTCTCAAGGTCATTATATTGTATTCAAGTTCAAAATTTTGAAACTTACCTAGTTTTGTTTCATCCTTTTTCCAATCTGAAGTTATTTCATTTAACTAAAAGAAAAACCAAATAATTTAAACATTAAAAACCACAAAAACAAAATTCCAAATTTGACATATTGAAACATTTTCCTTACATCCACAGTACAGCTACCCTCATTAAGAGTTCAAAGTTCAACCAAATATAAAACAATTTTATGAGAAAAAAAAACTTTCACCTACATTTATTTTCAATGTTCACAATGCTAGAGATATTAACACCTGTTATACTGCACATGTACTTTTGATCTTTTAACACATCTATGAAATATGCGACAATCAGTTATAGTATACACCTGTTAAACTATAAGTGTCCTTTATATACTTCAACACTCACAGAATATACTGTACACTGTACTACAGAAGTATGTTACAATGGTTTACTAAATTTAGAGAGGGTAGAACCATTAATAATTCTTATTCTAATTCTACATGTACAATACATGTAATATTAAAATAGATTGTTAAATTATTCTATAAATGCCTTTTATATAATTCAACACTCATAGAAATACTGCACTAAAAGACTGTCTCAATGGTTACAAAATTTAGAGATGGTGGATCATTCATGATTTTCCATTATTAAATATTTATTAATTTAATAATAGTGCATATTGTAGAATATATCTCTGTAAATTTACAACAGAATAAAAAAAAGGCCCAAAAAATGTGATCAACTTAGGCCAAATAAAATTAACTGCTGTTTTCACGTCCCTGTCATAAAACTTAAGAGCCCATTTGCTTAAAAAAAAAATAATAAAGATCATTGCCAAAGCTTAAGAAAAGTTAGATATATAAATCAAAATATACATTACAAAGACTAATTTTGCTTCTTTTATAAATAACACTTTTATTAATTACCAGCCTGTTTACCACTTATTATATAGGATAGTATATATCAAATAGTAAATACTCCTTAAGAAAACATAATTTCAAATCCTAGACATGAAACCAATAATTACTTTTATTTGGCCTTAAAGCTTGGTGTGTAGATAGTGTGAAATCTGATTATACTGCCCTCTATAGGAGAAGTAAACATTGCACATTATAAAGATTAAAGAACATATCTCATAAGTTTGTCAAATGAGACAAGCAATAATGATAATAATATTAAGTAATTATAGTCAGGTTTTGAGTAAACTACAGGAAATAGAATCTGAAGGAGCCATTATTTCCTGAAAAAAATCGTCTGAAGTCTACATGGCTGAAGGCAATGTGTGCGTTCATAGCTTGGCCTAGCAAACGAAATAATAATAATAATAATAATAATAATAATGATAATAATAATAATAATAATAATTTAACCTTAATAGTACATTATGCTAAAGTCTCAATGCACTTAAACAATAAAAATAAATGCAGAGAATTTAAGAATAATATTGTTTAAAAAAAGAATCCATTGAGATGTAAAAATCACCCCAGCTTTGAGCTTTTTGCACGCAAGACACAAAATAATCGGAGGCATTCTACAGTACATATAATTAGTGATCAGTCGGGGATAGGAATATTCAGTGCAAACGAAAGTGATGATGTCACCACTAACATTATTATAATGTTCTTTTCAAATTTGCATATAATGAAAAAATAATAAAAATTAAAATATACCCAAAATATTAAAAATAATTAGTGTTCATTTGATATATGAATGAAACAGAAATTACATTAAATTTTTTAAGTGCGAACAATCTCATACCACTACCACAATGGTCAATAATAAAAATATATTTCATCAGTATATCATTATGAAGGTCATCACAAGGTGAAACACCTGCCCTTACATGACGTATGATGCATGAATGAAATCGTCTCATCTTCAATGTTAATCCTTTCCTAGTATCTGGCCGCACAATACTTAAATATGCAGGATATAAAATAATCCCATTGCTACCCTGGGCTTAACTTCAGTAAGTCCTTCTAATGTGCATATATACAGAAGGAATGTTTTAACTTCCTTGAACATGTTCATTTTTAGTACCGTATATTTGGTTATTGGGTGGCCTTCATAAAATGTCAGTTGAAATATAATACAAGGCCAGATAAAAAAAATTACTAGTTTCTCGTCTCCTCGCGCACCCATTTTCTCTGCCTCACCAAAAATTTTAATTTAAAAAAAATTTTTATTATTTCCTTTATTTTATGAAATGTACGAAAATCTAGCGAACTCACATCAGTGAAATTCCTTTCCTGATCGTTTGTGGTTGGCGATACATGGTATGAATTTATTTTATTTATTTATTTTATTTTATTTATTTATTTTTTTAAAATCATGTCTAGTGCTCTCATTCTTTTTTCAAAATA